TACCTGGCTGGAAAGGCCAATGTGGGGTGAGTATGTGGCCATAACTGCACGGAGGAGCAGAATGGGGCAGCTTTTGTTGCCAGCCCATCCCTGTGCCCATATCTGGAGAGAGAACCAGGACAACAGTCCAATCCTCCAACATCAGGTTCAGAACGAGGAAGAGCACTCACTCATATCACCCTGCGAACCCAGAACAACCTGGATGTAGGAAGAGCCATGACCAGAGATGAGCTGGGCTGTAGATCTGTCCTCCTCCAAATAGCTTGAGTGACTAAGCCCGCCCAGGGTGCAGCTTCTCTCTCTGCCTCCACCATTTGGTCTCATTCATGACTCCTTTCTGTGTCATTACTCCCACTGATAGTCAAAATACTAAAGCATGGGCACCCACCGAGCAAAACAGACACCAACTGTGAACAATGGATAGAGGTAGCAAATTATCCCCAAAACTCAGTGGCTTAGAACAACAAACATGATCTCATACATCAGTGGGTCAAGAATTCAGAGCTGCCTAGCTAGGTGGTTCTAGCTTAGGGTCTTTCATGCAGTTGTAGTCAAGATGCCGGTTGAAGTTGAAGCCATTTGAAGGCTTGACCGGGGCTGGAAGATCCATTTGCAAGATGTCTCATCATGAGGCTGTTGGCAGCCTCACCAGCAGGCCTCTCCATAGAGCTGTTTGAGTGTCCCCAGAAGGAGCGATTCAAGACAGCAAGACAGAGGCACAATGTCTTACGGCCTAGCCTTGAAAGTTACCCACTGTCGTTTCTGCAGCACCCTACAGAGCAGGCGTATTGTGTGTGGGAAGGACTACACAAGGCTGTGAATACCAGGAGGTGAGGGTGAGTGGGGGCATCCTGGAGGCTGGCCACCACAGAAACGACATCAGCCTCTCTAAGGGCGTCCCACCACCCTTAGAATAGAATACAATTGCCTGGCCTTGGCCTGCAGGCCTGGCATGAACTGGCCCCTACCTCCTCATACTTTGCAATCTCATCACGTCCCTCTTTCCCTCTTGCACTAAACTCCAAACACACCAACTTTCCACCTATCTCTCAAGATCCCTACTTCATCCTATATATTTTCTGCTCCCTCTGCCTAGCAGTCTCCTTACCCAGATCTTTATGTGGCCGGTTCCTTCTCATCTTTCAGGTCTCAGCTCAAATGTCACCTCCTCAGACAGGCTTCCTTGACCCCTGCCTGTCAGTCTCTCACATCACCTTGTGGGTTTTTCTCCTACTGTTACAAATGTATAGACACCACATGAATGATGATACGTAATTACATTTTATGGTTTGCACATACAATCAGAACCAATGTCACGGTACACTTCCTTTGGAGATAACTATTCACATCACCGTGTGTTAACTTCTTCCCAGCACTGACCTCTCTTGGAAATTATCTTGTTTATTAGATTATTGCCCTTCTCCCTTCAAGTACCAGCAATAGCCCTCTCGCTGGTTTAAGCTGAGATATTAGGGCCTTAGGAAGTTTCCAGGAAAACAGAGACCCCTGGTTGGAGGCCCTCTGCAGAGGTCCGTCCTTGGAGAAGCCCCAGCACACACATCACCCTTGCCCGTGTGGGCTCCTGCGGGTGAGCACCACCACTGAGTGCCAGAGAGGACTCCTGGGCTGGGCACCTGCTCCTCAGCGTCCTTAGCCTCATGCAGGCGCAGCTGACTAGTGGTGTCTCATGTCACTTGCTCTGCTCTGTCTGCAGGTGAAACTGGGAAGGTCTCTGGCTTCCACCATGGGGAGGTGCAAGTTCATTAGGTAGAGAATTCTCCAAACATAGGACAATGCATCCATGGTGTGGAGAAACCAAATTGAATGGATGAAATGAATTCTCCATAGCCTACCCCTTTACTTACTTAACTTCCTCAAGCCCACTTCTTCCATGCTTAAACTTACAAACAGTGGAACACACTAGCAAACCGAGAGCTGTTTCTCAAAGAAAATAGTTACTTGTGAGAAGAGTTCATGGCTTTGCTCCAAAACTTGGGGCTTTTTGCCATTCTCTGTCCATGTTGCTCACATATTTATTTATTGCTTGCTAGAGCTCCCCTCTGGCTGAGTGCTTTGAGGACAGGAATCTTGTTCATCTCTATAGCTTCAGTACCTAGAACAGTGCCTGGCACATGAAGGTGCCCATAAATGTTAAGTTAATGAATTGTGCCCATGGTGGCCCTCTAACGTTGAATACGGCTGAGCTGTGTGACTAGTAGGACACTGCAGAAATGACAGCGTGTGACTTTCAAACCTCAGTTCCCATGGCTAACTGCCTCATTTTGGGGCTGCTGCCAATTTCAGATTCTAGAAAGGAGGAATCTCACTGGCCCATCTTATCTGTTTGTACCAAGACATAAGTTGTCAGGGAGCCTATGAATTGGAGGTTCTGAGAGGAGACGTCGGCCCACTTTAGTCAACTAGAAGGGGCTGTGGCATCCCCTGTGGTTGGCATGTCTAGTACAATGGGGACACATTTTACCTGAGGATCGGATTCTAAGATATCCATGTAACACTTGATTCCAATACAGTCAGGGTTCCTCATGAAAATCCCTACATTACCCATAAATTTCTCTACCATACAGTACCACCTATCAAAATTCCAGTTCAGCCAATTTTCCTTTCCAAGTGGGAACAGATGGCTGTGTCTTTGGTTGAGCACCAGATGAAGTAGTTGGTTTGCCTTATGGATCTTGTATGAAAAACACACATCTTTCAACATTAGAGTCACACTCCTCACGATGAGATGCTCAGAATATAAGAGGCACGCTGGACCCTAAACTCACAGAGAACCACAGGTCCCCATCACGTCTTCCACACGGAGTAGAAAGGGAGATGGCATCCACGGCAGTGTTTAAATGGTCCTCTTCTCCCTCCCCTCCTTCCCTCTTTCTCCTCTCTCCTTCATTTTGAACTCATATATACTGCAAGGTTTAGTGATTTTTAAAAATCCACTTGTTCTTCCTGGATTGAGAAATGAATTGCAAGGAATTCTGCATATAAGAGGAAGAAAATTAAACTGATCCCAGTGAGAGATCTCTGAGCAAAAAAGTAAAAACAGAAAGCAGTGAAATTATGTCAACAATCCTATTCTCTGCAAAGATCTCACATGAAATGAAAGAAGATTTTAGGAAACAGCTATTCCTTATTCTTAGGGCAATTAGACAAGGACAGTGCAGGGGAATCGGGTGCCCTGTCACATTAGCTTGTCCCTGGAAGCTGTGATTAATAGGATTACAGGAGAGTGGATTATTAAACAGAAGACAGACAAGAGGAACCTAGGTGGCAAATGGGAGAAATTAATGGAGAGATGAAAGAAAAGCTAGGGAAAATGCCAGATTTTAGGATAAAGTGTGAAGATATAATATGGGGGGTAAAAATCCCTGGTGTTTTTTAATCAGGTAGAACAGAATGAATAATCAAAACTGGTTTATCCTCATTCTCTCTCTCTCTCTCTCTCTCTCTCTCTCTCTTTCTCTCTCTCTCTCACTCACACACACACACACACACACACACACACACACACACACACACACACACACACTGGGGCAGAGAGTTTTGTCTGTTTTGTTCACAGCTGTCACCCCAGCCCTTAAAATAGTAAGCCCTTAATATTCGTTAAATAAAAGAATGAATGGCTCTATAGTGAACCAAGATGGGTCATCTTGTACCGGTTAAAATGAGAAGCCAACCTGATCCTAAGATATATCCTGGTGAAATTCCTAAACATGATGGAAAAATAAAGACTCCTCCAAATTTCAAGCAAAGTTAACAAAGTCAGATGACTTTCAAAAACGTTGATAATCAGGACATCCTTGAGCTTCCCAGGGCAATAGTCATTGCCTGAGACAATAGAGTGAAAACCACAAAATCTTTAAAGGGAAGAATGCCTCCCAGGACTCCTGAAGCTGAGAAGACAATTGAAGGAAATCCCTGACCCGGAAACTCAGGAAAATGGCCTGATGGGCCTTTGGTGAAACATAGAGACTAAAAGACACATGAAAAGGGAGAGCTCTTGGTCATTCCTGCCTTCACATTGGTGGGGCAGCCTCAACCCTTTCCATAGAACAGCCGGGGAGGTTGCAGCCCAGCCCACCACTGGCAGCTGCAGCTCTGTGACATTGCAGGCTCCATGGTCCTGGGTGGTGACCTGTAGGACAGTCTTCCCAGACTCTGGGGTGGGCTCGGCCTGGGCACACATTCCCCCCTTATCCTCCCATCCACAGAGTTAGGCAGGGACACTGGAAGAAGTGGACGGCTTGAGAGCTATGATGACATTGGAGCACAGCCCGGCATGTTCGTTGTAATGAGAAAAGGGCCACCCAGACCCCTCTCTCAGACTCCCTGTGGCTCCCACCCTTGAGCTTGACCCTCTGAACCTGGAGTCACCTTTTGTCCCTTGACGTAAGCCAGAACAGAAGTGAGCCTGCTCTCTCCCTTTCCTCCTGAGCCTTAGTGTCCAGGACAGGCACAGCCCAGGGCACTCCGAAGTCTCAACCAGGTGGCATCACAACCAGCCACGTGGCAGGAAAGGGGCCACCAGGGCCCACCTGGAAATGCAGGAGAGCCCTGAAGCCCTGAAGCCTTGGCTCCCTGCTTTTCTGCCTCCCACTGCTGCTACTGGGGCCAGATTATATCCATGAGCTCCCATACGTCCTATGTCCATTCTTCCAACAGTGTTTAATGAGTAGCTACTATGCACTACAAGCTGGTGGGCAGAATAGTCTCAAAACCTGTCGTTGTGGGGTTTTTACTCTACAGAGATGACCAAGGCAGACCTCTACCTGGATCAATCGTTCGTTCCCAGCTCCCTGAAGCTCGAGAACACATCACGCCTTGGACACATCATCCAACTTGTGCACAGTAAGAAAGTGGGCAGAACTTTTTGTACCTTGGGAACAAAAATAAAAACCCAGTCACTTAAGTGTCACTCCTACAGCAGCATTGACATGATGACTGGAGATAGGGAAAAAATATATATCATTGTCTGAACAAAGACACATACTTAGCAAGTTTTATTATACTGACTCACATGCTTAATCCCTCTAGGGGAAAAATAGCACTGAACACCCCCTCCCCCAAAAAGGATAAAAATAAATTGCCAGAACAGACACAAAGCAGCAGCCCTAGCTCCCTTCAATGTCAAGCACTGTCTGGTCACTCACCTAGGGCTTGTGCCGAGTGGGGCAGATTCCCTTCCAGCAGGCTAAGAAAAAAGTGGTGATTTACCTGATGTTGGCAGGACTGGCTCCCAGATCTGGGCAGAGGGGCAGCCTGGCCTGGGGGTAGGGGGACGTGTGGGGAACCAAGGTGGGTCTTCAGATCCCTTTGTCTCTCTCAGTCTATGCCTCTCTGTCTCTCTCTCTCTCTCGTCTTTTTTTCTTACTGTCTTTGTCCTCCCATCTTTCTGTCATTTAATCTCTATCTCCTGGCCTCTGTCGGTCTCCCTCAACACATGAGAGTGCTCATCTCTGCTTCTCCAGCATATCTGCTTTTGCCTCTCTCCCCCTCTCTGCAGACCAGCCAAAACATGGTTGGTCTTTTGATGACCCTAACACATTTGGTACCTATACTAACTAACCCTGTCTCTAGGTGTTCAATTCCAAACCCCCAGGGTGGACACAACAATTGGCTCAGCCTCTGGAGTGCTTCCTATGGGTTGGCCAGCTCTCTGTCCTGTGGCTCTGCGAGGGCTCCTGTGTGGGGGGAAAGTGGGGCCAGGCTCGCTCCTGGGAACAGCAGTGGGTGTGAGAGTTCTCAGATAAAGGACAAACCGTGGGGACACACCTCCAAAAAATTCTTCCCTGTTACAAACCCCACAGAAAGAGGTGCGCCTGGAAACCCCTGGGGCAGAACCCCCATGTAATGCTCCCTTTCGCAGATTTTATAAATATATAAATTCCTAAGGCTTAAAAAAGACATATTTTGCATGTGGCTGAAATAAGATGGTAAAAATATGTCCGTCGTCTACATGATTTCCGGCTGAAAGGGTTTCTAACTGCAGCATGTTGCATTAGCACCTTCCTGCAGCCTCTTCCTCATTGAAAGATACTATAATTATATACATGCATCGACATTGCTGGAAATCTGTGTGAAAACCTGGCCTGGGAGGCACCTAACCAAAATATGCAATTTCCTTGATTTAAACTGGCCAAGATTGTGTCTGAAAAATTCTACATATTGTCAGAAAAAAATCTCCATATTGTCTGGGAACAGCTTTTTCCTGTGCGCTTCATCAAGCCCTCCCCCCTCACATCCCTGTGAATGCAGGGCCGAGATGCAGGACCAGGAAGGCACATCTTCAGAAAGGAGAAAACACCTTAAAAAAACACAGCTTCTCTAACATGGGGGCCATGACAATTCATGGGTTTCAGGCACTCCAGCCTGGAGGAGAGACTCCAGCGTCTTCTAGGTTCTGAATGCAAAATACACCGCAAAAGAGAGATGTCTGCATTAGCTTCATAGAAATTAAATGCAGCAAAAGTCTCCCATCCTGAACCACAGACACTAATTGTAGTCCAAGCAGCTGTTTCTCATGGAAGGCTTTTTTTGGCAGTTATCTCTCGTTTCCTGGGAATTTCTTGAAACCATGGTTTGCCTCGTTTCCAGTTATGCTGTGAGAGTCCCAGGCATAGGCGGGGGCCGGGGTCAACCTCCTAGCCCAAGCAGAGCAGCTCTGGTTTGATCTGTTTTACTTATTTTCCTCACTTAATTTTGGTTTTGTCAGTTGTACAGTAAGCATTGGTTTAAACGGCAACGGTCTCCTAATCCAGCCCTGCAAAGTTCAAACTTTTAAGTTAGTCTTTTGGGGCATTTACTTCCATAATTCTCAATAATATGCTTATATGATTTTTGATTGGTTTTTCAATTTGGGCCATCATATGATTTCCGACCTCCTCCTACGGAAGATGGAGACGAAGCTGTCTCATCATGCACCTCTCCCTTGCACCCGCCCACACCCACACCCCGTGTCAGAGCTGCCCAGGGCTGTGGTGCTGCAGACACTGGAGAAAGGAAGGGTTTAAAGGAGGAAGAGGCCCCAAATGTCAAGTGGCAGTGGGAAGCCAAGAATGATGAGGACGGCTCGAGTCCACTGGATGGAGTAGCAGGAAGCTGGTGAGGTCCGAGGGGAGAGCTGCTTCAAGGGGTAGATGGCAACCACAGATACTGGACTGCAGAATGGAGAAGGAGTAGGCGATGAGACAGTAAAACACAGAGTATGATGTACGATGCTTTCTAGAAACTTGGCTTTGAAGATGGTCCAGGAGTCCCATGGTTAAAGTCTCCTCCAAAGGCCTGAAAACTGTGTACTACCATCATGCAGCTATATTTTCTTCTCTTTCTGGAAAAAAAGATAAAACAAGTTGTGATTGTTTACGATTCAAAGTCCCACCGAAATCTGTGTTTCCCTTTCACACAAAGACACAGTTTACATTTTCCATACAAAATGAATATGGAGTGTTTTCAAAAGTTCCTAGGAAAACTCATGTCCTAAAATTGTGCCAATTACTGAACAGAGAGGGGCCTGCCTTAATGAGGAAGTGAAGTTTGCATTGGAAGGTGTTTTGCTAATTATCTCCGCTTCCAAAAGAGACTATAAAGAGATCCAGGAGACACCCTCCCTTTGAAACAGGGTGTTTGGTTGTGGACACTGTGTCAGCTCCCCCAAGAGGTTGGGGATCCAATTCTCCTTGGATATTTTTTTTTTAAGAACACAGAAAGAGACTGACATCAGTGTGGAAATAATCAGATCTGTATGATGCTGTGTGGAAAGGGAATGCAGAATAAACCCATTGAACTGGCCTCCAGGTCTCTTGGTGACTAGACACTTCTACCTCACTTATTTTAACAGAACTAAAACTCAGGCTGAGCATAGAGAAGGGGACTTCTGCATAAGGGGAGCAGAGCAATTGAAAGGAGCAGAAGGGGAGATGGAGTCAAGGGAGCTATGTTTAATGGGAAAGACCCGAGCTTGTTTCAGTGCTGATGGGAAGCACACAGTTGGGAGGAAAGCCACTGAGGACAATGGGAGAGACTTACTGGTTTGAATCAGTTGCAGAACCAATGGAAGGGAAACTCGGAAGGACGGAGTGGCTTTAGACAGAACAGAAGGCGGACGTGGATGTGGAGAAGCTTGGCGGGGTGTGGGGAGGAGAGCAGGAGGTTGAAGGAGCTCGTCTGTGAATGGTTCTTACTTCTGTGCTAAGGAAGAGGGTGCATGCTCAGAGCAGTGGCAGGGACACAGGGTGGGGACTGAGATGAGAGAAAGTTTGGAAAAGCTGGTGTGGGCAAAGGGAGACAGAAACTGCCCGGGGCCTTAGAGTCAGGCCTCAGATGGGGAGTGTGGGCTCAGCGTCCACTCCCCGCGAAGTATTTAATGGTCACCCAAGGGCCAGAAACAAGATTGAGTGTTTGGGTTTTGTTTTTCTCCAGCCTGACCATGTCCACCATGCACCTCCTTTTCAAATCAGTGAAAATCCCCAAACACCCCTGACAGAGGTGGCGTCTGCAGTCGGAGCATAACACACAATGCCAGGGTTTGTTCTCTGCACCAAGGGCGGCATCTCCCAGGACTCTGAACTCACTTACACAGAGGTCCCAGCACCATGGATGGGCCCAATCTGGGAGGTTTGGCCATTGGTCTCAGGGCTCTGCGCTCAGCCCCACCAGGGAGATGGTGGTGTCTGCTCCCCAGCATGGCACAAACTGTGCATTATGTCTATAATACCCATGTAGACCAACTTTTCTTTGTATTACTCTTTTTTACAAAGCGTTTGTGAAACATGAAATACAAAAAGACATAAGGAATAACCGTGAGTGGACAACCCACAGGACAGTGATGAAGTAAGGGGGCCTGGACCAGGACTGACCCCTTCCAGCTCCACCTGGCCAAGGTTTCACCAATATCCAGGTGAGGAGGGGTTTCCACTTCATACGAGAGGAGGGTTGTGGCAGTATAGTGCATTTTCAGAGGTGGTTCAGTACAATCTAGCTGGTGAATTGCATTGAGTCTGTTCTGTGGTGAGGGGTTCGTTTTTCCTAACAAGTCAGTGCTCAGATGGGTCTACCCACGAGGCTCCCATTTGGGTCAGGAACATAAAATAAAGCCCTGTTGGATTGTTGGGACATCTTGGAGCCCTTCCTAAGGGACAGATGAATGAGAGGCTGTTGGATGACATTTAACTATAGTTCCAAATTTATCAAACGTCTCTTTGCAATATGTCCAAGTCAGCCTGGAAGTGGACTGGACTTCGTGGCCGGAGGGGCTGCCTGTTCTCCCGGCTCTGCTGCTGCTGGCACTCTCTTCCTGCCCATGCTGGGCAGCGGCCACCTGCTTGTACTGTGGGGACAGCCACCACGCTTCTACCCAGGGCCGCTTTCTGTTCAAAACTTCTCTCTCCTCTCTTTGTTCTTGGTGTGGCTCACATGGTGTGTTAGTCTGCTCGAGCTGCCATAACAAATTCCACAGACTGGGTGCCTTAACAGAAATTTATTTCTCATAGTTCTGGAGGCCGGGAGGTCCAATATCAATGTGCTGGCTAGGTAGGTTCCATTCAGAGGCCTCTTCTTTGGGCTTGTAGATGGCCATCTCCCTGTGTGTTCTCAAAACCTCTTCTTTGCGGGTGGGGGGGGGGGAGAGAAAGAAAGGGAATGATGAACTCTGGTCTCTCTTTTTCTTCTTATAAAGATACAAATTCTATCAGACTAGGGCCTCACCCTTACGACTTCATTTAACTTCAATTATCTCTAAAGACCCTGTCTCCAAATATAGTCACACTGGGGGTTAGGGTTTAAATATACGAATTCTAAGGGGACACAGTTCAGCCCATAGCACATAGACAGCCCAACCAACTGCTCATAATCTGATCTGTGACTCCAGAGAGTAAAACTGTGAGTGTTGAAAATGTTCTGTATCTGGGTGGTGGTTACATAGGAGTGTGTGTGTGTGTGTGTGTGTGTGTGTGTGTGTGTGTGTGTAAATTCTTCAGATTTACTTTACTATATTATATGTATGTTATACCTTAAACAATTAAAAAAAAAATAAACACAAGAGAAAAGAGAATCAAATTAAACTAAGGCCTTCGGGAATGAAGAACGTGGCCCATGGTGTCCTTAGGCTAAGAAGTGACACGAAGGTCTTAACCTGCAGGAAGGGAAGGAAGAACTTTTAGTGCACAGTTTGGTTAGTCAGGGTGGTTCTGGCTCCAAGAAACAGAAGTCCACTTACTGTGTCACGGTTAAAGGATCTTCCACGAATCCAGAAGAATTTGAAGAGCTCTTCCTCACAAGAGACAGCAAGTTGTAGACAGTTTCTGCCTATGCATCTGCCCATTCACCTCTTTGGACTCACTTCCTCTTTTTTCCCCTCGTGGTTCCAACACAGCTGCCACATACTGCTTAGTCAATATGAGTCTCCATCCTCAGCTCCCACCATCAACTCCTCCTTTCCGTATGTGCCTCTTAGGTCCACCTTCTGAGAAGGGCATCCAGTTGGGTTCCAGCACATCTTTTCAAGCCAGTCACCAGACATAAGGTCAATAGTTGTTGTTGGGTCCAAACATCTGGAACCAGGAAGAAGGTCATGAGCTACAGTTCAAGGCCATGGTAAGGCCCAGGTCCTGGTTTAGGATAACTTATCTTCAAAATTGCTATAGAGGGGCAGGCAACAGTGATGACTACCCCAGGGATGGGTGCCACTTTGGTAGGTGTTGGGATTTTAAGGATTTCTATGTATTTCCCTGTAATGTCTTTTGTTTTGGATTCAGAGTAATGCTGGTCTCAAAAAATGAGTTGGGAAGTATTTCCTCCTCTTCAATTTTTTGGAAGAGTTTGTGTAGCAGTGGTATTATTTCTTCCTTAAATGTTTGGTGGAATTCCTAGGAAAGCAATCTGGGCCTGGAGTTTTCTTTATGAGAAGGTTTTTTTAGCTACAAATTTAATTTCTTTAATAAATATAGAGCTATTCAAGTTATATATTTCTTCTTGAGCGAGCATTGGTAGTTTGAATCTTTCAAAGAATTTGTCCATTTCATCTAAGTTATTGAATTTATTTGCATAAAATTGTTCATAATAGTCCCTTATACTTTTGATATCTATAAAATCTATAGTGATGTTCCTTCTTTCATTCTTGATATTGGTAATTTGTGTTTTCTTTATTATTTTTCTAATCAGTCTGGCTGTAAGTTTATCAATTTTATTGATTTTCTCAAAGAACCAGCTTTTGGTTTCATTGATTTTTCTCTTTTGTTCTGATTTCTATTTTATTGATTTCCTCTTCGATCTTATTTCCTTTCATTTGCTTACTTTGTATTTAATTTACTGGTCTTTTTTATAGTTTTTTAAGGTAGAAGCTGAGGTCACTGGTGTGATATCTTTCTTCTTTTCTGATTATCAGCATTTAGTGCTATGAGAACTCAGGTCCTTGGTGACATCCTTGACCACTGGCCCAAGTCTCATCTGAGGCCAGTCTAAACCCAGATCACCAATTTTAGCTCTGGCTATACATTAGAATTACCCAGTGAGCTTCTAAAACTACCCATACCTGGCCCCACCCTCGGACCATTAAATCAAAATCTCTTGGAATGAGATTGGTAGTTGTCAAAACTCACTAGGCATTCTAATGAGTAGCCAGGACTGTGAATCACCACACTAGGCCAGTGTTTCTCCAACTGTCTATGATGAAGACACTTTTGTTTTTTGTTTCCAGTTTGAGTTTTTACTGCTTTATTGCCTGATGCTTTTGTGACATGCAATAAAAGTGACCCATATGGCTTCTAATGGTTTCCCTTCTAAAAAGTGGTACTTCCTAGACCTGCCAAGGCTCAGCTGGTTAAGAGTTAGCTTAAGAGCACGAGCTCTGAGCAACAGGGCCGCCAATTCAATTCCCACATGGACCAGTGACGCTGTGCCCAAGCTGAGCTGCTGCTGAGCTGCCAACACATGGCAGTGTAGTTCAGCTGGTGAGAGCATGTGCTCCTAACAAGACTGCCTGTTCGATGTTGGGCTATGGCTGCCCGCAACTAAGACTGAACTCGGCACCTTGAGCTGAGCTGCCACCTGGATGGCTTGGTGGTTAGAGTGCACACTCTTAACAACAAGGCTGCTGGTTCAACCCCCGCATGGGATGGTGGCTATGCCCACCCGCAACTAAGACTGAACACAGCACCTTGGGCTTAGAGGCCACGAGCTGCCGACGGGAAGCCAGATGGCGACTGGCGCCCCCCACAATGAAGATTGAAGAACAACAACTTGGCTGGTCCCCCTCCCCAATTCCCCAACACTGTTGCCCTTCCCCAGTTCCCCAATACAAAATAAATAAATAAAATAAAAATAAAATAAAATAAAAAGTGGTACTTCCCTTGCTTCTGAAACCCAGGTGCTCGCATTGTTCTTTAGCATTATCAACAATGGAGGAAAGGAAGTTTGTAGAAAGGTGGTTGGGCACATGGCTGTTTCAACAATGGAGTCGTTAAAGCTCATTGTGGATGCTAGTCAATGACCATGTCTGAGAAGCACTGTCTAGACTTCTTGATTATACGATTCAATAACTTCTTTTTATTGTTTGAGCTCCTGTCAGATGACAAAACTAAAACAATTTAGCAGCAAGTTTGATGGCCTTTACTCAAGGGAAAACAGTTGATGGACTGGGGGAGTGCAGTGCCTCAGTACAGTGGAGCACTTGTCCCTAGGATTTTGAGGCAAGAGTCTTACAGAGCAGAAGAAGCGGCAATGCAGAAATGGCATGAGTGGCTGGGGTTCCACGTGTGACCTTATTTAGAAAGATTAGGAACAAGGATATAAGTATAGAGCCCAGAGCTGGCTTGGGAGATTGGCTGACTGGCTCCACTGCGTTTCTGGTGTAAGGGACTATTTACAGGAACACAAAAGTTTGGGTTGCTGACGTGGCATCCTGGCATGAGCAGCTCCATCTTGGGCCTAGACATTTATTTTGATACTCTTCTGAATTGGTTTTTCAGTTCTAAGAGGAAGATTCTGACTGAAGCATTGTGCCACAGACATAGCCATCTATTCTGCAATCACCAGTTCACATGTTACCCTCCCTTTCTCTCTCTCTTTCTCACATGAGAGCTGCAACCACCCCAGAGTACATGTAGGGTCCTGGTTCGTTTGATGATGACTGTGTGATCTCTGTGTGCCCTCATTCTGGCTCCTTTTCCTCAGTAGCTTTAATACAGTTCGGTGAAGATACAAACTACCTTTCCTCCGCTGTTGATAACACTAAAGGGACATCAGAACACCTAGGTTTAAGAGGCAATAGAAGCACCCTTTTTTTTTAAATAAAGGAAACCTCTAGAAGCCACATGATTCTGAGGTGGCTTTTCATCTTTCGACCACACACTTCTCTTTCAACTTGCAGATACGGGTTTTAACATATTTGCATTTTTCTTTTTGATGCTCAAGTCATCCCATATTTGGCTAGAGAGTGTCCAGGTTAGCTTCTGTGTTCTTTAATTCCAACCCCACAGCCTCTGATACCTTCCTTGCTCATCTGTCCCAGCCCTGATCAGCCATTCCTCAGTAGCCTTGATTCCTTTTGGTGGAGAATGGTATTTAGAGACTAGGATATAGGCAAGATATACACACTTTTTAAACACAGAGATTACATGGTTTTTCAGAAGATCTGTTTTTACCATATTAGTACCCTTTTCATTAAGTCAGTTAATCACCTGAAGCCACCAAGTCACTTGGGATTTGGATCGGTTTATATTAGAGCAGAGTTTCTGAACCTCAGCACCATTGATATTTTGGGCTAGAAAATTCTTAGTGGGACCTGTCCTGAGCACAGTGGGGTGTTTAACAGCGTCCCTGGCCTCTACACACCAGATGCCAGTAGCACCCTTCCAGCTGTGACAGTCAAAGTTACCTCCAGACATTGCCAGATGCCCCTTGGGGTGGCAAAATCATCCCCTTATTAAGAACCAGTGGGTGGCCTCTGAGATTCTCTGGAAAACTTCCTGGAACCAACCAGAGAAAACTTGGCCCCTGATGCAACGTCCATGACGGCTTCCTGCCTCTGTTTCCCCATGTACCTAGTTGAGCTGATGGCTGCAGGATAACACAGCACCTTATGGGAGTGGTCTGACCTGAAGGAGTCCTCGGCATGACTGTGGAGCAGACGCTACGTCACGGCAGCACCTCGCTGAGGCCGCAGGTCAGGCTCTGCTGACTGTGCTGAGACGGTGCGGCATTGGATGGAACTGACTCAAGTCCCGAAGATTGCTCAAATTCTGGTGTTCCCACCAGGCCTCTTGTTAATGTTAGCCTTGTTTAAGATTTTACTGTCACCAAGAGTAAGTCCCATTTAATTCATACCAGATGCTGAGTGAGTCGTCATGAATCAATACAACGCCGTCCAAAAACCACCAAAATGAATCATAAGGACAAACAAGACTTTTTCTCCCTGCAAAACTGACTAAAATAGTGTCTTACCCTTTTAGGAAGAACATTTACAAGATTAAGACAAGGTTTAGGGGCCTGCTTGTGTAACCCACGTGACAGTGGGCGTGAAATGGTTAAACTGCTGGTCCCCAGAGGGACAGTGTCTGAGGCCTGGCTAGAGAGCACAGGGACTTCTAGACTAGAGAGGGACTCCACGTGGGTGTCCAGCCACCCCTGGAAACTGTTATACAGTCCTTTTTTCCATCCCAGTAGCAAGGGTTTCTGAGACTCAAGAGTTTAGGGATCTGTATCATGGAGGAAGGGGCTCTAGGGAACTGTGGAAGGTCTTCTAGGACGTGGGCATTCACAACTCCTCTCTGATAGAGCCGAGGAGATCCACGAGCGTCCTTTTCTCAGTCCTGCATCTACTTCCCAGATTCTGGGAACAACACTCCAATTACCTCTGGGAGCCAGAAATGGTGTCTGTCCTCCCTGGTGTCGGGGGCTACTGGGCCCACCCAGGCCATCTATCCTGGGCCTCTGACTCTGGAATGGAGGAAAAAAGCAGAGAAGAGGTGGGGCTGACACATCCCTCCCTGTACTGTGGCTCGATGATACTCAGTTGGTTCCTGCTTCTGGGCGCCCAAGGCCTCCCTGGTTCCTGTCCTTTCAGATTAAGTTCTTCAACTGAACCCTTTATTTTTGTGAAAGACTCATCCTTCCACTGAATTTCCTTTGTGGTCAGGGGCAGCAACTGTCACTTAGCACCACAGCACCAAGCCATTTCTGTAAGAGGTACTGAGAGCTGCACCTCCCACATCTGTCTCACGGACTTGTGCAGGCACTGCAGCCAGGCCTGATTATATTTACGAGGTGCAAGCTGGAAGGTCTCCCCTCTGTAAACGCAAAATGGGAACAAGTGGGCCGAGAGCTCCCTGCAATTACTGTGTGATCACTGATCAAGGAACTGACTCATCGACGTGGGCCAGTGGGGGACATCGGAGTTGGACCAGTGGACCACTAAGACCTACAGCAACAAGAGAAGATGGGACTGTTAAGAGAGAGACCCTCAGTGCCACTCAGGTTTCAACAGTGCTCCGCTGAGGGCACACAGGCTCTACTACAGGGTCCCCATAAAGGCCTGTCCCCCTGGGTGGCCTCC